AGATCGGGCGCACAGCCAGACACACGACGATCGTTTCTCGCCCTACATTTCGACACTTCCGTTCCTTACCCTACGCACGCCGCACCTGCGATGTTTCCTGATATACCGCCCTTCGATTTTTTTCTCTGAAGATACTTAAAACAAGAATAAGTGTAGTGTAATGTAAATGAAGGTATTACACGACATGTAATGACATCTATTATAACTTATTATTATTTTTTCTTTCTCCCGTTTTCTAGAATGTTAAATATATTTTCAAACAAAATTGTAAATCTATTATAACTGTTCCTTCGAGTTTCTAGACAATGTTGTGAAGTTCGAATTTTCGAGAATTAGGATCAATCAGGTCTGTTATGATAGAGAAAAGCAAACTTTTCACCGTAGCTTCTATTCCATTTGTAGCAAACACATGTAACCCCCACATGATGGGATTAATACATTGATAGGGCTTAAATGAATGAGCTTAATAGCTCTATGAATTTTGATTAGGACACAGCGAGCAGACTACAATAAGCACCTTAGGATCTTGTGGCTCAACAGAATTTTTTCCATTTTTTAATATTTTTCTTTACCCAATACTGTAATATTTTGAGTTCTTACCATATGGTCATTAATAATAGAATATATTTCTAATTATTTGCTATTTTTTGTTAATTTTGGATATCCATAACTAACTAAACAATGGCGTCTGAGCATCAGGCGTCAATAAGTAGTGAAGGCAACCAGTTTTATTGACAAACTACTTTCTATTTTTATTGCATCCCCTACCCGACCTTTCAGAAGACACCACTGATACTGCTCCGTCATTCACCTAGTGTAGTTTGGAGCAACCACGGAAAACTACCGTTCAGAGCAACGGGCCGCTACAATTATCCTCCAAACAGCGGCTGAATTCGACCTGGCTTTGTAGCTAGTGTAGAAAATCCTGCCACCGTCTGGACTCGAACCATTGGTCCTCCCGGTCACAGGCACTGCAGTAACATCAGCTCCTGTCATGAGTCACTTAAGCCGATGCAACTTCAGAATTTCCGTCAGAGACAACAGCTTTTCTGTGCTTCCCCAGCTGGAAATTATTCCGTGAGCCCTCCGCTTTCCCAGCGTTTCTATCACCTGCGGCTTCATATACATGGAAAATTGCATTAGATTGCCGTCGCAGTACATGAAGGTAGCCATCATTAGAAATAACACCGACCAATAGCATTTCGTTCCACAGAAAGCACGTCCGAGCAAGGAAACGTTGACAAGACTTCGGGGAGAATGCAACTTGACATCAAAGACAGCAGATGCCTTCCGCATAAATGTAAGCATAGATCACGAAATTTCCACAAAATACTGCCTTTTTGTACAGTTAATGTACGTGTTGCACATGCGATTTTAAAACAAATTTCCAAACGCGACGCAGTATTCGCTTGCTCCTCCGTATATTCTTTTATGCCAGTGAAATAAATCCTATTGCAACGACAGCGATTCAGTCAACTTCCAAGATGCTTAGTTTCCTTGGCGAGGTGACTGGACCGCATTATCCACGGCTGGGGGAGGGCATTCCCCCCTCTTCACCTTCCACCTTAGGCGCGGCCTCCACAGTCTTCCATTACAAAGGCTCCAATAGATATGTGACGCTTCGTTTGAGCACACACATAGAGAACTGGGCAGTGATCATTTAATGAATACTAACTAATTTCAATCCGACCGTTAGTAATGTGCTTTATTATTGTGTTCTCCAATACGGTAAGATTTCCCTTACCTCGCTGTTATGCAAAAACTTTCTTCCAGGTCATGCTGGTTACCGACATGATCAATACCCCCTACGAAGGCATTGTAGATGAAGACTTTCTGGAACCTGGAAGTATAATTATAGACACCAGAGCTTTCCAGTGAAATAGATTTTGTTTTTCACCCTCATAATACCCTTGTGGTATACAACCTCGCTCCAACACGATTTTTACGGACTCGAATGGGGTCGCAAGTTGCCATTCTTCCCCTCGCCAGCAAAAACTCCTCCTTCCTGAAGCAAGCACACCCTTTCCCTACACACACAGGCCGTGAAAATCGCACCATCGTGGTGCAGACGAAGCCTTTGCCTCTTTGCCAAGGAAACAGATGAATCTAGGTTCCAATTTTTTTCCGTACCATTTTGAAAACAGCTTGAACGTCCCGGTGTCCTCCTTTGCTCCCCAGACTTCCCCTCCGATGGAGATGCTAATTTCTGTCTCATCGCAGCATTCTTGAATATTTCTCAGGATACACACAGGCCCAACGCGCCGTGCCTCCCTTTTCTGTCTTCTTTCATGATCAGACAGCAGGTTCCAAGCACTTCTCTCTCGCCTAACGCCAGCAACCATATCCTGCCCAAAGTCGAGACTATTTCGCTCTCCGCTCAAGGAATTCTTACTCTCCCGCCCGTGTTCAACGGCCGGCGAACATTGCTGTCTACCGCCAACACCAGCCACCATTCACGCCACTGTTCTAGTTCCTACTAATATTACGGTTGAAGCATTGCCCTCATTTAATCCCTCAGAGTTTCACAACCTTATTGTTTATGCAAACTCTTCCGGACAGCTTCACGGCCGTTTTCAGTCACTATATCGGCTGGACACCCATCAGGTGATTTCGCTCCCCTGACTAAAATAGACAGAGCACCAGGTCAGCACACAGCAGATTTCTGGATTGTCCACAGCAAAGATCGTTATGATTGCCATCATAAACCATCTGGGATGTGCTCGTGGCACAACATAAACACAAAGGACAATATCCTCCCAAATACTGCCATCAACGTTATTTTCATAATACATCCCGGCGTGAGACTGATCCTATTTACGACGAACTATTTCCGCTTTAATAACACTGTGCCTGTGTTCTATCTACGGGCATTAAAGAGCATGCTTAATCAACCCGATTCGCAGCCCGCCATGATTTGCTAAAATAGCATACAGGGATCACAAGGGTCCAACAACAGCAGTAATTTATCATTCTTTCTCTTTTCTTAGTTCCTTTATGTATTACCCTATACATATACATAAATGACATGCCTTTGGCTTTAAGGACAACCAAAATATTTTGTTTGCAGATTACACAAACATTCATCATCAAGCAAAAACACAACAATCATTAGAAAAAGAAACTCACAAAACTTTGCACACTAGTAAACTGTTTCAAGACAACAAACTCATCATAAACACGAGCAAGACAGTCTCTCTAAATTTCATGAATCCTCGATCAAAGAAAAATTCTCACAGCATTTGCTCATAAACAATAACCCTGTAACGATATCTTATGAAACTACCTTCCTTGGACTAACAATTCAAGAAAACCTAAAATGGAACACTCACAATCTACAAAATCTTAACAAAAGCTCAGCAAATCTTGCTATGCCCTATACACCCTCAGGTCAAGCTCCAACATCGAGACACTTCGAACTATGTATTTTGCAAATGTGACTCACACCTAAAATATGGAATAATATTCTGGGGAAATGCCCCTGAAAGCACTCGCACATTCATTATCCAAAAGAATACTACTCGAACAATGACCCAGCACTCATAAGCTGAGTCTTGCAACCCTTATTTAATAACTAAGATTCTCCTCTACCATGCATGACATATTTGAAATAGTGGTCTTCACAAAGAAAATTCTTATGGAAAACAAAGACACTTTTATTTAAATTCTGATGTACATAACTACAACCACCGCGTCAAAAGGATAACCTACACGTTCCCCACTCTGAAACTACACTTTATCGAAAAAACCCTAATAGAGGGCATTACACTTTACAACAAACTAAGCAATGATATCAAAGACATAAACACATTCATACATTTAAAAGTAATGAAAGCTTTCCTGCTTAACAACATGTTCTACAGTGTAAAGGAAATTTCAAATTACATTTCCCTTAAAAAATATAAATCAATAAGAATTTCTTATTCCATTAGACTTTCTGTTTCATTTGAACTGTTTCAAGCTGAAGCAAGAAAAAAGAACTGCATTACACATCCTGTGAAATAGAAGAAGAAAAAAACTGTCAAAACTGCCTCCTCACCATTTCAAGTTATAAATATAGAATGTACTACTATTGTTTAAATTATGATGTAGTTGCAAACATATTGATAAGTATTATTAATGTAATTATTATAATTAATGAAATTATTATTATTTAATTATTATTATAAGTATGCATTAAAATAAACATCTTGAAATGTAATTATTAGCAGATAATTTATCTACTGTATAATATCTTAATCTAACTGTACAAAGTATTGTATTTCTAGGCCAATGACCCCATCTTGATCAGGTTTTGTTCAGTTTCCCTGACCTTTGAGCAAATGCTGAGATGGCCCCTTGTTTGCTCCTGAACAGTAATATAACTTCGCTCTCTCCACCCAAAGCATCATATTAACTCGTCATACACGATTGTAATTGTATATATGTGACTCAATAAATATTATTATTATTATTATTATACATTCTTCTGTATTACACCTGCCTTAGTATTTTGTATATTGTTATTGTTTTATTTTGGGGGTAATACATAACGAACACGCACATCTGCAATGACATGGGCATTTTCCGGAGGGGGAGTGGTGTCGCAAAGCGACGCGTGTCTACATGCGACCCGACACATCACCCGTTGAGTGGGCAAGGCTATAGAAGACTTGTACCTTGACCGTTCGTCTTCGAGGAGGGTGCTGCTGTGCCACATCCACGCCACTCGTCCTTCTAGCCACGCCATTTGGACAAGTGTGTAAATTGACCAACGCTGTGTTTGATCATTTCCCCCAAAGCAGTATCTCAGCTAAATCGTGACAGTACGTTTCTTAATTTCTTATTTTTCTGTAACCGTGATGAAAACATGAAATAATCCATTTCCAATTAAGAAATAGAGTCACATATTTGAATAATGAAACATGTGAACTGATGAAATAACTTGAATAAAATGAAACTGTTCATACAATCGAGGCAAATTCATTCAATAAAACAACCTTACAATGAATAACAATGCTTTATTGGTAATTATGAGTTAATACAGGTACTTGCAAATACTTTTTATGCTGAACAATAATTACTATTATTAGTAATAATTATTATTTCTATATAACAGTTGCATCAAGTGCAGTTTCTGCATAGTGAACCAACACTAGGTAGGATGAAGCATACCCCTGTCTCTCTAACCACTACACACAACTCAAACCACCTTGTTATTGCTCACAGAAATAATGAAAAAGGTTAAGGTACAAGAACGAAGGGATGGACAGTCTTTACAAATTGGTTTCCTCACTAGAAACACATTCAAACAGTTATGATAATTTATGTAATACTGTATAAAAAATAACAAGCCTTTCACAACATGTTCAGCTAATACTAGGTAAAACGGTATTCACACACAACTAGGTGGCATCCACCCGGTATTATGAAAGAAACTGAGTTGCCTTGGCATTATGACATCGTCAGTGAGGCAAATTGCAGGTCACATACCAGAAGCACTTCTTAAATTTCTTACCCGCATGCACAAGTAGTCAAAAGTACATAAAATATGATTGGGCTAAAAAACTGGCAGATATTCAGAGGACACTTCGTTCTATCAATTATTAAATTCTAGGTGACAAGCACTGATGATGCCTTAATTTGCAACCAAGAGGTACATTTTTGAAAAATAATTATCAAAGTTAACAAGTATTCCATTCAATGGTTAAATGTACATTTCCACTGAGAGCAAATATCAAGAGGAAGATAATATGAAAACTTGATATAAAAATGTCAATAATTTCTGTGGAGCACAAGAAGAAACACCTCATACACATCATGTTAGACTAGTTGAAATTTCAGGTAATTTATAAAATATGACTTTGAAATAACATTCTCATTTTATATTTTCTTTTTACAAAATTTCTATTTGGCATATTTGGAAAAAGTACCACACATAGGCAAAAATGTTCAAGAAAAATTGTATCAATGAAACTTATGGTTTATGTTTGGGAGCAGTAATTGTAACATTTATAAATGTAATTGCAGCTTTTGTAAATATATCTGGCACAAGAACCATCCTTAAGATATATTGTGATATAACATATCATTTTTGGGAATTTGGCAATGCCTTTTAATAGTTTAAGAAGTAAATGCAATTTAAATTTAATCTTCATATTATCAGGCAACTCCCTCACCTTGTAAAATATTTCCACAAGTAACACAGATAATTTCACACTGCAAATTAAAAATAAGTTAAAAAACATTACATATTAGTTCATAATCTTGGGCAGAATGTCAAACCACACTAGGATTTTACATTGTTACTTTGCACAAGAACAACTAGATCAAGAGATTCAAATTATTGAATACACAAAATAGCACTATAGAGTGGTCATGCAAATAATATTAACATTTTCACAAATGAGACATTGAGTAAACTGTAGCTCAGAACGATGTGCATTACAAATATTTTTAGAATATTTGGAAGATAAAGGGAAAATACCTTAAGTTTTCATGGTTAAGTCAATTCAATAAACTAAGAGTTTGTTATCAATAACAGTGGTTTCACCCAAAGACAAATTAGCAAATTGTCTTTTTTACATGCATTTTAAACTATTTAATTCTACTGCAACTTTGTTGTCAAGCCTTGACTAAGCTTGTAATGTTCCCATTCCTTAACTGTTGCCCCACAGTATAAAATACCATTGCATCCATCTTGCAGATCTTGAAAAAATTAATGATAAAAACAAAAATAAACGATTAGCAAATATCTGAATAAGAAATATAAAAATGAGAACACTTGAATAAAAGATAAATGCATCACAGAAAATAAAAGCACCACAGCACTAAAACTTAAGACAAGAGACACTTCACTAACCTCCCTAACAGATACTTGCTACCATCTTAAATACAATTACAAATGCAATTTGTTTTTTTACAGCAAATCATTGCTGTAGAATAGCAGTGTGAAATGCATGCATTAAAAACTTTTAGTCAAATACCACTGCAAGAGAAAGGCAACTGCTTACAGCAGACGTTCTGCCCAGGTGCAGAGATGAGAGTTGACCATGTTTTAAGAAACGATCATAACAATTACCTATTAAAATGTATGATTGCACAATAATTGTGATACTGCTCACCTTTCAATTTTATTTCAACTTTTTCTATAAGATAAGCCTTGAAAATTTAAGCTCTCTTTAGGAGTAAGTTACTCATATACAGTAGACATGAAAGGCAATTTTTTTGGAAAAATTACAAGTTTTGAAATAGATCTGTAAAATACGTTCAGCACTATCTACTCTTTTCAAACAAGATTTTCAACTGCAAACGAGAAAATGATTTAGTTCTATCCCAGAAATTTGAAATTCAAATATGCATTTAAATTATTTCCATCATGTGTGATGAAATATATCCAATGTGGCAAAGGAGACTGATATAATCAATAATGCACACTGGTTTAAATGGCAACAAAATACTTAACAACATCTTTTTTTTTTTTTACTCATTGCCACACCCTCTTTTAAATTAGTTCATCTTATCCCTCATACACACTAATGCAGCTGCAAATGCTTATGAACAAACAGCTGGAAAACAGAAGCAAGAAAAACAAGTGTAACCATTAACAATTACAAAACTGGTTAACTTCTTTTAAAAACATTAGCTCACATTTCTAAGAAACCACTGCACATTGGTATTGTACAAGCACTTTGCCCAAAAATATGGACATCCTTTAAATAAATACTGATATTTACAGACAGCTGCTTTTCAACAAACTAATTACATATCTCTTATTCTATTATTGTGCACTTTTAGGGATATCACTTCCATATGTTTAACATAGCAAATAATTGAATAAGGAGAGGCATACAATATATCTTTGGTAAACAAGTTTTCTTGCAGATTGGTGCCTACAGGTTGACATCCCGAGAAATAGGAAATATATCACTTTGTACAAGGATTGCCATATTCTCAAGACAATTGGAGAGATCAATATAGCAGATAAAGAAAATGTCATGATTATTTCTTTGGTCTTATTCAAAGCACACAAATAATTCAATACATTGGAAAATAATACAATGACGATTACTTTTTATATATCATGCAAGAAATACCTAAAATGTATCTCAGATTATTTCGTGGTGTCATGGTGATATGGCAACCCTACAGTTTAGCTACCGTAAATTAGTTGCACCCATAACCTCCTTACACTAATTAGAACGTTGGCAGTGGCAGTGATTGGTCAGGTCCAAACCCACCAAGAACTAAACTACTGCTGTCTGCAACAAAGCAGCAGCATCAAACAACAGGAAAACAACAAAGGTGTATCTTAACCTTTCAGGAGGCTCTTCATCTGTAACACAGATCAATACTCCAACAGATAATTTCACAGTTTGTTTGAGAAGCCTGAAGTCACACTATGTGGTACAAATTTACAATTTGTGAACAAGTGATACATGTATATAACTACGCCATAATTGAAAAGGCTTATTTTCGGTACCCATAAATTTAATGGACTTGCTTATTATTTCTTCTATCATACTTTTAATCTCACCAGATATTACTCAAAAACATTACACAAAGACTCCAGACTTTTGAGGCACACTGTGAAAACTATTTATAATTAGATGAGTATTGCAATTTGTATACTAAAAATAAATATTGTGGCAATACATGAACAAAGGTTCCATTGCACTATTTGTAAGGTAAAAGCATAAGATATGCATTTTTATATACTGGAAGTGCAGAATCCATTGTAACAACAAATGGTACATACAAAAATAAGGTGTGGTAATGCTCATCTAGTTATAGTCTAAAATTGGCATTTCTACTGATCGCCTCATCAGCCCTGCATGAATGGGGAAGCTGGACATCTAGAGAACAGTAACCCTGGGAGTAAGATAATTCATCTTCACACCAGATTCACTGCACCCAGGAGGCTGGCACCCACAGAGGTTCTGTTTCCACTCTGGTTACTGCTTGCACCAGGTGTTCAAAGGCAGCAGACAGATCAGCATTTACAATAGTGCAGTCAAACAGGTGACTATACAGGAACTCGATTCGTTCTGCACTATGAAGCATGTCTCTGAACTCCTCATCCTGAAAATCAATAAAATAAAGAATACATCAGATAAACCTGATTATTATATCATAAAGAAAAACATTAATGGATCATCTTGCAATGACCACCATAATATCACCAAATGCTATTGCCTTGGTGGTTTTATGATTAGCTCCTATACTTGACAATGTCTGTAAGCATTCCTTCAATGAAAGAACAGGGAATAAAAAGATAAAATGAGTTTTTCTTGTTATTTTACACACTGGAGATATTGGTCAAATGGAAAAAACATCTTTTCTCAATTTTCTCATCCCCTAATAGTTTAAATGTCATGAGATTTTTGCTATAACACAAAAAAAGCAAATGCTTCTTCTTTTTATGGAAATTTTGGACTCCTTTTTAATGAAATGTGTTTCCGAAAACGAGACATTTGAATGCATTTCAACTCGAAAAATGTTGATTTCCTGAACCTTCATATAAGATTATTTGCAGTCTTTGTGGCCACAAACGCATTAAATTATGACATAGACTTGCATTATAAAAATTAACAATGTGCCAAATAAGTGAAAGAAAGTTACACGTGTGATTAAAGATGCGTCAAGTTTTAATCAAAATAGTGGCTACGTCAGATGGTTTAGTGTAATATGCTTCCATCCGTATTGTAACAGCACAGTAATGTGGGCGTGCCGCGAGATGCGTCAGGGCCGAAGTCCGCTTTCATTGCCACCGCCCCAGCGCTGCGAGTCCGTTTGTCGCCCGCCACCTTCCACCTTCGCCCTCTTCGGCCCCTTCCCACGTCGCCACTACAGAGCGCTTCCGAGAAGCGGCAGTGCCCTTCCCACGCCGCCACCGCCACACGCGGAAGTCCGATTCGTCGGGGACCACGAACGGTAACAGCAGTAGGTAAAGCGTCGCGACCGGTGGCACAGAGGGCAGACCACCATTTAAGGCTGCGTTCTGCTAGCGGTGGCGTGTACGCCCTTCCGCGCTGCTGGAAGCGAGAGCCCGCAACCAAACACCACAGCAGCGCGAACACACCACACGTGGAAAGGCCTCCATTTAAACGAATGTTTTGCTACCAGCCGCGGCATTCGGAAGCGCGGCTGAGTGGCGTTGTGGAGGGCTCCTAGACTGCTGATTCCGGAATTTACGGTTAGGGAAATTTGGAGTGGATTCTGAAGCGGTTCTAACAATGAGAACGTAACCGCATGGCACAGCCGTTACTGAACGCCTGGTATTTACACTTCGAGCCTGAGAACGCAATTCTTATTTTTGTGAATCCCCGCCCCTCAGTTTCAAAAACGATTTCAACAGGCGAGCGCCGAAATTTGATTGGGCAGAATGATCTCACTCCGGTGCCATTCGTTCACGAAAAAAAGGCCAGTTGCAGTATACTGGATCCATGATAGTGTAACAAGGTATCTCATCCGTCGGTTGTCTACGCTTGCGCCGTCGCCAGCGCCGCGGCTGCCAGTTTACTTGCGCGCCGGGGCCCTTCCACCGCTTCACGAGGTTACAGAACGGGATGAGGGCATCGAACAATGACACACTCTTCGAGAGTAATTACATCAGTGATAGGAGTAGTTCTTGGCAGGGCGAGCCACGCATTATGTACCAGTAGTCCGTTAATGCACCTAATTATATTAGCATGAATCCGAAATACGTAAATATTTTGTAATAATGTTAATATTATACCATCCCACGCTCCCCGACGTCGGAAAAGCAGTGCGATAGTTAATAATCCTCTTAAGTCATGGCTAGCCTGGTCAACATAAATTAGGCTAGAGGGAGTATTATTGAATTTAGCGCCCAACGTGGCACTGAAGTGAGTATCGTTTCACCATGTTGCCCACAACATTGGACTCTTGACTTAAAATTGCCTTTCTAAAGACGTTGGATACGGATTGAAGGGAATATTTAATTTCAAAAATAGTGCTTTTTTGTGTTTTCTGCTATGTTTTTTTGGTTGCATGCATGGGCACGAATGAATTTTATTCAATCACTAACCCATTAAGGACCAAACATTGAAATAATATTTTAAAATAATATTACGAATTTACTCTAATATTACACTAGAAAAGATAAAAATCTCACTTATACATTTTTAAACCAATAGTCAATGTACAACTAAATGTTGCATATATGTAAGACATCTGAAAATAGTTTGAATGGAGATGAACAATGCATTTTTTACATTTGTAAACTGCAGTGCTTTTGCATAAGCTGCATCTCCTTGTCTTTGGTTTCTCCCTTTATAATCACATGCTCGAATTACATCATGATTGACTGATTTATTGATGACTCCGAGCATGTCAACTGCCAAGTTCATTAGTCTCGTAAATGTAATGAATGTTGTTTTTTTTGTTGTTTTTTTTTAGCGTGAGGGGAAGCAGTTATTTTCCCCTGTTGGGTGGAGATCCGATGCTGACCGAACTGTCGGCTTGCGAGTTTTTCCCGTGCAGGTATCTCCCACTAGCGGGGAGCGCCTCAACCGGAACCTGCTCTTAGCTCCCGCGTCCAGTATGATAGTGTAGTGCAAGTACAATTGTACGTGTAAGTAGTTCAAGTAACCGGTGAAGATATGACAAAGATGAAGAAATGATTACGTCAGAGGTACAGCAGTGACAAATTTATGCCTTGAGCCACCTATGTCAGTATCCGTAAAGCATAATGTACTTCTTTAGGTAGGGACATGTTTGTGAGTCAGTCAAAATTGGACTTTTCAGTGTCCTGAACATCATTTACTCATTATTGCATTCACTTCCTTTTGCACAGACTTCAGATTTCATTAGTCATGGCTAAGTAAGAGCAAAATTATAGTTGTGACATCTTTTCTTCAATCGCAATTATAATTTCCATGAGTTGACAATTGCATAATCAATTAATATTTCTTTTCCTCTGTCATTTCATCAAAATTAGCGAGGAATGTGCACAGCATCAATCATATTTGCAGAAATATATTGAATATCAGTAGCACAATTCACTGTATTTTCTCAAAGTTCCAAAATTCAAGGAAGCCAAAATTATACTAGATATGAATGAAAAGTGCAAAACCTGACCAAATAGCATTTCTTCTTCATGCGATAGTGATACAGAACAAATTCATATCAAATCGTTTTTCTAAAAAAAATATTAATATTAAATGTGTTTACGCAACATTGGCACTTAATGGGTTAAATAGTTACCTAAATAGTTATAAATGAATAAAAATTAGAATTGAATGCCACATTAAACACAGTTATAGAGGAGGAGGAGGAGGAGAAAAGAAAAATAGGACTGAAATGGAACCTTCAAAACAGGTATTTCTGTCAAAGTCCCTACATCATTTTTTTTCAATATTACCATCTCAGTGCCACACACCAAATGTCAAAAAATGGTAACAGAGACATTTGTTTTCAATGAGGCAAAGAAATCTTCATTAGAATGTTAATAATAGCTCAATATTGAAACTACCAATTTGAAAATGAAGTGAAAGCTATATAAAAATGTACACTACTGTTTCTCACAATAATTTAATCGCTGATATGAAGACAACTTTTTATTGAGGTCATCTACTGCACTTAAAGAAATTGGATAAGCATATTGAAAACATTATCCTACATAAATATTTTTCACTACAACTGAATACATAATACATATTGAACAGAAAGTAATGTAAATAAAGGAAATAATTTTCATTTACATCACAATTCAAGTTAACTTACCGTAAAACCCCTTGAATTATTTTCATCAAATGTGGATCTGGCATATGCTGCATTCCTTGTTTCTTTCAGAACATCAAAGGGAGGAGGTTTAATATAAATAACGTAAGGTTTCAATTGTGGTGTCCGCAACATCTTTAAGGCCTGAAAATTTAATTCATCTTAAATCTGCATACTCTTGTAGTTTACGTATAAACTTTATTTCATTTTCCTTTAACACTTACTTGGTAGTGCGGGTTAAGAATACAAACATATCCAGCATTCACTAATGACTTCACACTCTCTGCTGAAGTGCCGTACAGATTTCCCTTGTATTCTCCAAATTCAATAAATTTTCCAGATTCAATTTCTTCTTCCATCTTTTCTCTAGTCACAAAGAAATACTCCTTACCATGTACTTCTCCATGTCGAACAGATCTTGAAGTGTCTGTTAGAAAGTAAAAGTCCATCAATTCAATACAAAATTCACATAATAGCTCTTGCTATATTATAAATTACACTTACAGATAATTAAGACAAAAATAAATTCCACAAAACGTTTCCCATCAAAGTTGACAGAATTGGAAATTCACATTCTCAGAAATTTCAATCATTTTATTTTAAATTCTTATGTGATGATGCTGTTAACTTTAAAGACAGTATTTACTTATTACATAATTTGTTGTAATTACTTTATACTTTCTTGTATATTCCTTACAAAGTTATGTATTGCGTTGGAAAAATGTCGACATTTGTAACAAAAAGAAAGATTTTTTTTTTTGGTTGCCTTTTACTTTCTTATTCTTACTTCATTTAAAAAAAAGTTCTAATAGTGCGTCGGAAACCGCCGAATTTTCGACAGAAAAACTCTTATTGAGAGGCTCTAGTAACGAAAATGTGGATAAATCTTGTTCCTATACGTAGTACATTATTTCCTCTAACATGTATAGTAAGAATCCATGTTTTGTGGCTCCTTGATACCGAAAAATAGATTGACAGCAAAACGTCCACCTATCCGTCCATGATAGGGCTAAAACCGCTCTGCTAGTTTTCTCCAAAAATTAATATTCCTCAAGCAATTTAAAAGAATACAAGGTCCTGTGTTGGGACGAATATTTTAATATTTGGGGGTACTTTACATGAAGGCTCAAATGTATTTTCAAAATTTTCTCAAAATGGCTCCAAATTTTTACTTTCAACTTTGTTCTCGGATAACTTAAAGAACACTTAAAACAATGATAGTGGATAAATCTTGTTCTTATAAAATACATCCTCTAACATGTGTAGTCACAAAACGTGTTTTGTGGGTTTTTGATACCAAAACATCGATTAATAGCAAAACAAGTCTTTTTCCCCCCCTGAAAATTACAAAAAAATAAAAAAATTTCGGCGTCTTTCTACAATTACAATAATGAAGATATATGTTTCCTCAATTTAAACTGCTCTTTACAGACAGATAAAAACATGTACAATTTATTGAAAACATATGAGTAGTTGGGCGTAATTTTTCATGGAATAAGGGTATATCCATTTTTTCTTTAAATTTTCTCCTCGTATGTATCAAAAGGCAGTAGAAAAAGCGGCGCTAGTCTCATTTCCAATGAACTCACAGTATTTTCGAAAATTGTAAAAAATTAACATTTCAAAACTTCACCATTGGAAAGAGATATTTTTGCCTTAAACAAACTCTGTTCTAAAAATATTCTCTTTAAAAAGGGTCATGTACAATTTTTTGACAACCCGAGTAGTTTACGCATAATTTGTGTTTGAAATTAATACAATTAATTTTTTTAAATATCTCAGAAACCCCAATTTTTTCTTTAATTCTTTAATATTTTCCACCCATGGATAAACGGTACATTTCAAAAAATGGTGCAGCTCTCACATTCGTTGAACTCTGAAGTTTCGAAAATTGCATGTTGGAAATAATGCAAGAAACCATTAGATTTTCAAGTATCCTGTCAGCCCAAGTGGTTACAACAGAGCGACTACGGGGTGTAGCGCATGGCAAAGTAACTCAATGGACCTAAATTCAAGTCTCACTATGGGGAAAACCTTTTTGCTAGTTGGAAACACTTTTCCAGGTTTATGTAATGTTAGTATAAAACTGCAGAGCTATTACAGCAAGAGTATGCGCTGTTGTAGCAGTACTAGTAACTACGTAATTACTTTCTTGTATATGTAAAAGTTTCTTCTCACATATGTCAGTCTTTCTGTCTCTGTGAACAATACAAGCACCTACTAAACCGAACAGAATGGATATTCTTCGATCTATCTGGTTAATGTTACAGCATTTTGAATTTGGAAAAAAAATCTTATAATTTTTTAGTGAACTTTTATGAAACATTTTCAAAATTTTCTCAAATTCCCTTTCAATTTCAAAAATTGTAAAGTTTAAAAAAAATTTCATATCTCTCCTTCTTATAAATAATGAAGATAGAAATATTTTTTAATGAAATCTGTTCTTCAAAATGACATCTTTGTGTACTGTCATGCACTGGTTTTGAAAGTATGACCAGTTTCCATTAATTGTAAGAGAAATAATGAAAATTTTTAAAAATACGTATACATTATTATCTCACAATCAGCTCTAATTTTTCTTTACATTTTTTTCTTGAATAAGTAGCTTGGATAATTCAGGAGCATGGGTCTGATTTTCATAAAAATTTCTTGTGATTGAATATTGAAAAAATCCAACATTTCTTCAACAATCACAATTTATAAGTAGAGTAGCCAACTCTCTGTGATCACATCACACAAAAGGAACAACTGTAGAAAAGTACAACATGCATAATAAGAAATATCAATCCTCCCCAACTTCTGTTTTAAGTCATTTAGAACTTATTCTTAATCTAATAAATTGAGAGGTTTAGAAATTCTGGAACTAAACAATCACTATTCATTGTGAACACACAGTTAAGCACATTTATAAAAATGTAATTGAAATGTTTTATAGTCATCAAGCTCTGTGTACATGTATGCTGTAGTGGACTAAAGAAGGAAATTCTGCTACCTGCCTTAACTTCAAAATGTAATGCATAACATATAATTAAAAACACTTAAAAACTTTTTGTGAAGGGACATGTGTCAAACTATTGCTGGATCTTACATTTACATACACTCACTAACTATTGCATTTAAAAACACTTGATTTTCAAACTCAAAAAGCTATCTATCTTTGTCTTGGTAACCTAAACTAACATTTACATATGTCTCAGAAAATGTTGACTACTTTTGTAAGATCAATTGCATTGCACATAACAAAATGAAGAAGATCAATAACATGCCAACTACACCATGTAGTTTGTCTGAAAAGGACATAATGTGAAATGACAGTAGATTAGCACTCATTCTATTAAATTTAAGATATTATTAATATTTACTATTTATACTATATCATCTGTTAATAAGTTAAAGTGATAACTAGGGCCTCAATAATAATGAAAGTACATATTTTCCTATATTAACTGTGAAGTCAAATCAATATGTTAAGATTTCATATCAGAGATTGCCTAAAAACTAAGACTTTTTAGTTCATAATTTACATATTTTATCTGAAAGTAGTACATACTTTGCTCAAAAGTACACATTTTTACACATTTCTGAAAATGTCCACTTTTCTGCTTAATTCAGCATTGTCAAATATTTTCTCTGCAGCCTCTTCTCTAAAACATCGCTATTGCATTGTATTAAAATGAATCTGTTGATGAATGCACGCAATATTGCAAAACAAAAGAGCAAGGCATCAATGCAATCCATAGCTTACGGTGTTAGTTTTCTAGAGACCAGATTCTTGCCCAGGAAGGTAGTTGGTGTGTGAAAATGATATGTCTAAACATGTAAAATCGTATGTCCAATTCAAATCTTTCAGAGGTTCCCCTTGTCCTTGATACTGCTCACCAGACAACATGCACCACCGCCACAGCTCAAGAAGTGCTGTTGCTATTTTTCTTTCCCTGTTTGTCAAAAGTGACTCACGTTGTTCATATATTAACTCTTTGAACAAGAAAATAACAAAAATAATTCACAGCAATTGGATTAAACCTTAGAGCAATGGTATCACTGATTGAGAATTTGGCACAGGTATAGTAAGATATATCATTAAAGAAAGTAGAATTTCCGCAATCTAAGAGTCAATTGATTAAATCTGAATCAGCATTGTTTTTAATCCTAACCTATGAGGTACATTGAACAGTGACGTTGTGGTTTCAGTTAATAATTTTTGGAGTACATTCATCTATATGTTATTTAAAAATGCAGGACAAAAGCCCTCACTTTGTAAGGCTGAAGCAGTTCACAGAAGATTTTGAACATTCTTTTACAAATGGAAAAAAATTTTTTTGCCCAGTATGTGAAAAGTCTGGCATGTACTCAGTGGTTTCAAATCTTGCAACTTTGATCCAAGTTGCCACATCAAAGATCAATATTACCACCCAAAACAATTGTTTTGGGATGACAATCTCATGCTCACCAAAGTCCTGAGCTTCAGAAATGTTTTTACTATCAGTTTTTATTTTATTTGTCATCCTCTGGTTTGTGCAGTTGTACCAATTTGGAAATTAAGCAATCCAGTGAATTTCTGGAAGAAATACACACATGAAACAATTTCAAATGAATCCACAATAAGAATAACCTGTGATCCCAATTTGTAAATGAAAACAATGGATTCCATTTGCTTGGAAATTGGCAGTGGTCATCACTCCATTGGCGAAAGAAAGGGCGCGCAAGGGAATCATATTGGGAACATTGTAATAGGTTTAATGAACGGTGAAAACTAAGTATATTTTGTTAGTTTGTGAAGTGGAACATTCTTTGTCAAAACAGTCAACAAAATATCAAAGGTTCAGAAATCATGCAAATAATTATATTTTTGGACTCAGGATGACCAAAACACAATTTTTTCCCACCTGATTTTTTTGAATGTTATTTTTTGTAACAAAATAATCCGAATATTTAGTAAATTTTCCGGTATTGTTGCATTAAAACATTCCAAGCTAAGACTGTATTCATAAAGTTTTGTCTAATATTTTTTTTAACACTATCTACAGATGTCAAGTAACAGAAAAATTGCACAACCAACATTTTTGAAGGTCATTGCAAGTTCACAACAAATGGGTAAAAAAAATTTAAAAATCAATAGTGAACATATATCTATTTTTGTTGATTTTCAAAAACCAAAATACTTCTAAGGATTCAGAACAATGAGCATTTTTATTGCAAAATTAGTGATGAAAAGTTGTTTTTATATGACAAAATTATTTTTTATAGGGAAAAGGATAGATTCATTCCAACTTCTTGCTAATTTTTGAACCCTACCAACAAGACACCCTAACCAAATGACCAGCAACAAGGTGCGCATTCAGAAATTTTTCCTAATTTAATTTCTTTATTAATAAAAAAAAACTAAAAAAATTACTTGGGTTTCTTACAGATCTGACAGAAGGCACAAAATGTACAGTACCTTCAGACAGAAACTGAATGTTCAAAAATTAGCAAAAAAGTGTAATAGACTTCTCGTTTTCCCAATAAAACGTAATTTTTTCAGATAAACAAAAACGTTTCATCACCAAATTTTATAATAAATATGCTCTAAGTTCTGAATTCTTTCAATAACCAAGGATGAAATTTTGTAGGCAGAAAGTATCTAAGAGTATTTTGGTTTATGAAATATAAAAAAGACAATGACATATTTTCACAATGGATTTTTACAAATTTGTACCCATTTATGCCCTCAGTGACCTACAAAAATTTATGTTGTGCAATTAACATTAACTTGAAGTATACAATCTTAGTTTGGAATTTTTAATGCAATAATACCAGAAAATTTATAAAATCATTAAAAAATTGAATTATTTTTATAAAAAAAATAACATGCCAAAAAAATCCCCTAAAAAATTATTTTTATATCATGCTGAAACTGATATATAATTATTTTCATGATTTCTGGACCTTTGATGATTTGTGGACTGTTTTGACAAAGAATGTCCCATGTACTATCCAAATACAAACATCAAACTATTGCAAAACTGTTTAACAATGCAATGGGACTTTTTATGGTCTGATAGAGCTAAAAGTAGTAATGTCTTCCTTCTGGTGACTGATACAGCACTGTACAAGAGCAAGGCAGCCGAAGCCCTGCATGTGATCTACCCAAAGTTACTACATCCACCCTATCTTGTATGTGTGTGTTGTGTTGAAGTTCTGTTTTATTAAGTAGGTGCCTTTACTTCTATTATAAAAAGTATTTCTGAAGGTTCACAGCAAAGTGGAAAAATTTATAGAGCTTCTACAGGGAGTGCCTCTTTCACCTCAAAGTATATTATTGAGATGGGGCACCTGGATTAATGCTGAGAACAAGATTTGTTGATTTTGTAAACCATATTATATATCAATTTGATTCTGAAGCTGCAGCATCCATAGACATATCTACACAATTGTTTGACAATGGAAAGTTGAAAATTGATATTGCCTTCATTAAGGCCACTTTTTCACTTCTGTACATTACAATGAAACCTTTGGAGATTTAATTGTATGTTTCCCTATTTCCCTAAAGCTTTCCAATAGCTTTGAAATTGCTCAATCAACACTCACTTCTTTAAAAACCGTTCTAGGATCAATAGGAGACATAGTGAAGAAAAAGATAGCATCTTCATATCTAGAGAATATTATATTTGAAACAATTTATGTTAATATTGCCTTGCTATGTCAGGACAGTTCCATCACACTGGATATAGCCTATTCACCAGAAGATCTGTGCTTGTTTAAATATGGACTGGTGACTTCGTGCAATGAGAGATACTCTTTTCATCAGCACAAGGCCCTCTTATGAATACTTACTCTTAAAATTTCTAAGAATTTGAAACAAATATTTGTTCCTTATTGTTACAGAGGTCATTGTATATCACAGGATTATGAGAAGTATTATGTTTTAAATTGGTCTTTATAATAAGTCTACAGAACAATACATAATATAAAAGTATTTTAAGAAAACAGAATTGAAATGCTAGAAATGATAGCTAATATATTTCAGATTTCTTACTTTTTAGTACATACTTCTGAATATTAAAATACATGTTCATATTTTCCTAAATTTAAGTATGTAATTAGCTGGGCCCTAATCATGAAATTGTTTAGAAACAATGAAACACTAGGAATGCATCTTTACATCTGACATTACACAACACAAGACTTCATAACATACAGGAACAGTTTCCTCATGATTACAAGGGGCCTCCTTGAAATCCCAATCCTGGCAAATATTTTGTAGGTTAAAACATTTTTCTTGGTTCAACTAGTATTATATTTCCATGATGATCACATTTTTTAATAATACATGGTTTTGTCCCAGTTTTCCAGGTTTGAGAATATAAATATGGCAGGTCCTGTTTAGCATTTTTAAACACATTTTTTTCTGTTCATTTCTTAACCATACTATGGTGCACGTTTCTTTCACAACTGAATTCTTGAGTGCAGAATTTTGTGCAAAAATTAACTTTAAAGGAAACTCATATTTTATTTGCTTCCCTAGGAAACTTATCTTACTAATAAATATTCAAAATCCACTTGAAAGTTTAAGACAATTTTTTCAGGGAGAAAAGAAATCTCAGGACTGCTAGATATGCTGCTATTGACATGTCTAAACATGAGATGTCATGTTTACAAGGTGCCTCGTTCAAATCCCAATCCTGGCAAATATTTTGCAGGTTAAACCATTTTTCTTTCTCCACTACATACTTTCACATCCCAAATATTGCTTGAGTCAGGATTCTTAAATTTGTCCGAGGCCTCTTCCACTTTCCTCATGGGGAACGAAGTCTATGTACAACAGCTCGACAGTGAGTGACATGATGCATTGTAAGCAGTTTTCTGGTTGATGGATCCATGCCTCGAATTTCTTGGTTAATTCACTAGTCCGAAACTGTACTTGGCTACAGGCACAGCCAAATTACCAATTACAGATATTTTATTCCTGAAGTTCAGAGTGGACTGCAGGACAAGTCTCACTCTTCAGTACTACTCCTTGCGAATTTGCACTTTCATTGTTTCATTGTGTCGTTCGAAATGTTCTCACATTCTTCAATGCTCTGATATTTGTCAGTTTTACCTGGCTCAAGATCTTTAATCACAGTGTGCATCAACTTCAATGCTCTCTGATGTCACTTTTCCTTCATTTAAATTGACTTTTGCACATTTGTCAAGACCAAATTTCAAGCAGAAGTCATCGTTAAAATCAGTGACGACAGAAAGCACTTGGGAGAGAATCGCTTTGTTCTTAGCAAACACTCTAAGATCATCCATGTAAAACAAATGTGATATTGATCTTTCATCACTATGGAGCTTATAAACAAGTCAGTGTTATTGTTGTTATTATTACTATTATTATTAGGCTTAAATATTATTGTTTTACTACGTGATCATTTGTTTTTACTTTCATTAAAAGTTCTTGCAATTGAAATTGAAGCACAACACTGTACAAACATTTCAACAGGCAAATTTCTCACCTTTTTTTCAGCTGTGCTTTTACGCTTGTTAGACTTCCTATGCTCCTCTAGAGAATGGTTCGCCATTGAAATGATATCAACTTTGCTTTTATATTAAGAGCATACAGCACTAATACTAATCTTTGATTAAGGTTTGACTCACAGATAACTATGTTCACAAGCTCACTGATATTTAGTTATCCTTTGTTTTATTAATATATCATATTAATATAAAATGGGAACTCATGTAAAACTTGATTTCAATTTCTTATTTGTCAACAACTCCTCAACTGCGCATGGTTCAGAGGCAGTGTGAGACTCCGAATGTTACACTACACAGGAATTCACCACAGACTGAATGATAACAATGTGTATCCATGTCTTTAAATGTTAAGTGTCATTACTACCAAATGGTAGGCTGAGATTAGGGTGTATTTTCTGGCTTAGTCAGCGCACCTTTGACTCTGCATATGCATTTGCTTTATGCTCCTTGGTAATTTGGGCTCTTAATTTCCAGGTATAGACTAAGGACATATTCTTAGGATTAATTTGCAATCTTCTACATAATTAGGTGAAATTCCCTCTGAGTATCATACAGTTGATAACTTTTTCAAATATTTTGAATGGCAAAACAGAAAACTAATACCTCCCATGTCATCACAGAAGACATGTGTCAGGGACTGAAACCTAGCTATTTAGTTCCAAGTGAGACCCTTGTTCCATAATATATCATCCATGCACTTGCTACCCATAGACAACCATATGGGTGTTCCATGGTGCTAACTACTACCCACACTACCTATGCATGCAACGGCATTTGAAGACATGTGATCTTAAAGTTGAGGGGATGCAAGGACTTAGCAGTCTTAGTACTCATATGGCATTTTTTTAAGATACTTCAATTTTTACAATCTCCATTATCATGTACTGAGCTGAATGAAGCATTTTACTGAATACGATTCCATATACAAAGCTGTGAAAGTTGGCGATAAATCTGGAAAAATTAAAAAATCCCAGTTTTCCCCGGATTTCAAGGTTTCCATGGTCAACGGCCACCCTAATTACATAACCTTCACAAGTAATACAAGAAAGTATGTGCTTTTGAAGCACTACTATGATTATTTTACAAGATATAAAGTGATCTAAAAGAAAAATGATAAGATTTATCTTGAGTTGTAAAAACTACAAAAGTTAGCTTTCTATAAGTGCAAATTTTTTTTTTAAAGCAGCAGCAAACCGAAAAATATGTTCTATTTCTATATTTTATTGAGAACTAATTTGCACTTACAAGGAATGGGTGTCTTGTACTTTTCAGGATCTGTTGCAATAAGCCTTCGCTTAAGCTCATTCCGACCTACACCAGGAGGCCCAATCAGCACTACAGGTCTGTGCAGACCTGGACGTGGGTATAGTTTCGCCACTTCTTCATATGTGGCTATCTCCTCGCGGTCAAAGTCATCATTCTCTGCTAATTCATACATAATCTTTTTAGTTTTGGGTTTAGAGGCACACCGGGGGGACTTGGGGGACTGGCACCCAGGGAGGACTGAAACAGAGCATAGACCTACAGGGAAGTTAGTGGGAAGTAAATGTAAACCCAGATTCCACGTTTCATCTTCACTGGTCTCTGAAACCGAAACAATAAAAAGCAAATCAGTGAACTAAATAAAAAGTCGGAGTCTAAATTAGTAAATTTAAAACCAAATACACCTCAAAACATTCCTGATAAAATCAAAGGATTTTCTAAGGATGGAAATCAAAAATGGACACAATATGTTTGTAGTTAAAATATCTACCAAATGAAAATTTCTAAAAATTCTCATCCAAATTTGATTCCTTATTCACTCTACCAGGAAGTGACCCAAGATTGGATATTAATGTCTTGCACCATAACTGGCAGTGAATACGGATGTCAAAATTTGGGGAAGTGAGGCCATCAAATTCAATAATTCACTTTCAAAACCCAGGTCAAGGGCAGGCCAGGATATGAATTTCCAAATGCTTACAATGTTAAATAAAAAATCAAACTAATATGTTTGAAAATGAACTTCAAATTTATTAGTAGTTTACAAACAATTCAGATAAAAAACGCGGGAAAAACAAAATAAAACCTCCAACTTTTCAAAGCACTAAATCTATGAAAACTGTTAAAGAGAGCAAAAAAGCATACAAAATGTTCAATGTAAAATATTTGTCATAGCACAGAGATAGGCAAACACATTGAATATTTTCAAAATATTTCTGCCATCTCTACATGTTGAATTCTATTAACTTCTTTCATATCAAGAAATTCCCAATTACTTTTGCAATAATTTACTCTAAAAGCCTTATAGTGTTTTGAGTTGCATAGTTTTTCACCTAAATTACTGTTTTTAAAGGCATGATAAGTTGCCTGAAATGTGCATAGAGATAATCTTCAGAAAATAAAATTCTAAATAAAGGCATCTCTTCCTAAAATAGTATGATCTAAATTAAAAATAAAACAATTGATTTATTCCACAATGAGTACGATGTATTTCACTATTACCCATTAAACTAAAGTGAGTAACAAACAAAACCGCTATGAATTTATTTGAATATATATTCTTTTGTACTTTAATATTCACTTGAATACAATGAAACTGCATATTTCACATATGCCTAGCAGTTTGCCCATCGCTGTCCTAGCTTTAATAAAATCAAGAAAGCAAAGCATTAATGAGGTTGCCAAGACAACTCACAGTCTGCTACTGGGACACGAACATTAATCTAGGAAAATTATCTGCAACCAGAGAAGCAAGATGCTGAACTTTCAAATTCTGTTCATCAATTTGGGGAAGGAGTGCAACTTTCTGAGGATCATGTAGCTGTGCCTGTGCAAATATCGTGCTACAATCATATGGGGTCACATGAGGATTCACACAATGACTTTCTGTGCTTGTGAAAATGAGAGAGATACACAAGGCATTTCCTCAAAACATGAAAAGTGCTTGTGCATCATAGTTTAATCGTGAAAATAGTTGAAATTGCACACACTGAATTCATAGCGAAAAGCAGCTCTCCTTTTGTATTTTCAGAAGTAACAAAAAAATGATATGATATCAGATATTGAGATGAAATTTATCTTCAGAAAGCTACTTTTCACAATGGACTGAAGCAAAATGTTAAAAAGTAATTATCTGATCTTTCACATGGTACCTTCTATACATCCAATCCTCATGACAGAAAAGTATTCCTTAGAGGTCCAACAAGAACAACAAGCACATAATGAGTATAACACCTTCTTGTGACAAATTAGACCGCATACACAAATACGACTCCAAGTAATGAATCGTTTTTGCATTCAGTGTAAACATACATTTTAGCTCCTAATAAATTCAGAATATGCACTCTGCATTACACCACACCATCTCATTTTCTAGCAATTAGACCACACTTGAAAATAAATTCGTTAAATATACTAATATATTTAAGCTCTTACTTTCTTCTCCAGCTGCCTTGTCTATTTGCGCCCGTTCATGAATAATCCTGCGTTCTTGTAATGCTCTGCTTGGTATCAATCCAGCTCTCATATTTCTATCCCCTTCTCTCCTTGCCTGCCACCTGAAAGCAACGGGAGTGAAAAACATGAGTGTGAAGCAAGAGAACCAAACTTCCAAATATTTTTCTATGGTTCATTTTCAATTATTTCAGAGCACTGACAATTACAGGGCATCTATTATTTCAATAATAATCAATGTTAATTAACTCATTAAACTGGGTTGAGTCCACTGGAAAAGGGGAAAAATGAAAAACTCCCCCTCTGAAGTAAACAATACTCTCTGTACCATAACATTAGCTTGTCCTGAAACTAACAAGTTACCATTTTTACTATGAGACAAAAAGGCTTTGTAAATCACAGAATGGATTAGATTTTCACCCATGTCACGAATATAACAGATATTATTGGTATGGACATATACTTCGTAACATTCATATCCATTTCAGATTTTTTTTTTCGTTTGCATCAGATATTTTTTCTCACACAAAAACCAACTGCAAAACAAAGTTTAACCTATTCAGCTTTTTGTGACCATTTTCATTATTTTGTTTGCAAATTTTAAATGTTGCTTTCTTTTTTACATCAATTGTGATTAGACAAGCATGAAGAATGTATATTAAATGGAGTTTGTTCTATTTAAAACAAATAGTTTTGAGGGAAATGAAAAAATCCTCATAAGTTATCATGTTTAATGAGCACAGAGCAGTAAAAGGAAAACAAAATGATGCTACAAATGCTGCCACGACTCCTTGCTGCTTTCATAAGCTTAATAAGAGTAGGTATAACAACGTCATCAAAAGTATCTTTGATTGACAAATCTGGCAGCATTATAAGAGAAGTAACTTTCTTCTTCAGAACTTCCAGAATGAAGCATCTCTCTGGTTCAGTTCAATTCCTTAGTAAATATCATGAACATTCACAAAAATAAGCCAGTTGAAGAATAAGGAAATACTTAGAAATGAATTAGTTAATGTGTTGTGCACTCCTGAATTTTTTACCAGATATTTCTGACATCTTACAACTGCCATTCAGTATTTTGTTCAAAAGGAAACTACTGATCTCACTAAAGCAAATAAAACCCAGCAATTATTCATTATAACGTTACAGAATTTAAGGAAAAAGATCTGTACTTAATTCCTGTTACATCGTTGAAGAATTTTTTTTGTCCTGATGTCTCAATTTGTATTTAGCTACTCTTTCCCCTTTTCTGCTACAAATTAAGTTTTCTTGACATTAACTTAAACTCTTTTAGATAAAATAGTTTCTACTTAGCAGATAAAGAAGGTACTACACATTTTTAAAAACAAAACATGCACATCCTTGTTGTCCTTCACTGGTGGATGGAAGAGGACAAAACTTCATAAACATATACCTTAATTTGCAGGTTAATTTGTATGTATGTTTTCAGTAGCATCTTCACCCATTCACATCTCTAACTAGTTTTTATTATATAAACATCAATTAGTGTTCTTATCTATGACTTGTGCATTATGACAATTGAGAACAATGAGTTCAAAATATTCAATTTTAGGCAAGTGATCTAATTAAACATATGAATGTTAATCACCCATTAAGTTTCACAAAACACATTTAATACCATAGTCCAAGAATTTTGAAAAAATTATGAAAATGTCCTTAATTGTGTCCACCACTTGTGCTTTTACCATATACACTCAAGATTAGTAAGCCAACAAAGGAGAAGGACTAATTGCAGTTAAGAAAGAATGTAAAGGCAAAGAGATGTATAATTCAGAAGGAAGAGAATTAATGATAGCAGCGGTCCTCTAGAAGGAGGATCATTAAATAAGTGATAGAAGAGATCTGGGAAGGGTGAAAAGAGAGTTCAGGATTTTTTCTATCTTCCCAAACCTCACCTGTCACTTATCAAAAGTTAAGCTTGGGAGAAAATATTCAGATAACTATAAACATGCATGAAAAACTCTTATCTACGAACCTACTATCAACTATTCTAAAGTGGCGAAGTTTTTGTCAATTTTATAATACACAGATCATGACTTTTGGATTTTCATCTAATTTTTAACAAAGGACTTTTTGGAATCTTATTGTTGTTTGAAGATATAAAGAAATGGAAAAAACATGGTCATTAATATCTTAATTAGATGTTTTCTAAGCTGCAATGTAATGCACCTTGATCTTTTTGTATCAGTAATGTGGGTGATGTTCTATAATTATGACATAGGAATCCAAAGGAACCAATATAGAACATGAGTTAGTACCTAGTTTCATGTTAAATAACGGTCAGATCCAGAAAGGTTCTGTGTGTGTGTGTGTGTGTGTGTGTGTGTGTGTGTGTGTGTGTGTGTGTGTGTGTGTATGTGTGCACGCATGTGAGTGGGTGTGCGCGCATGGAGGAATGTCCAACTCAAATTAACGAATAAGTTTTTCAAACAAAATATGAGACAATAAACCCTAGTTGGCGAATGAATAAGGAACACACCACAAAGGAAAACATTTGTTGAACTGGTCCTGATGAACATAAATAGTGTTATAAGGAATAAATGCTTTTTGTATGTCAGATAATTCTTTTGAAATATTGCCTTTGAGAAATAACAAAATGGGCTTTGGTGCACCCGAAGGGGATGGAGGCTTCAGCTTTTTCCCTAGAAGTTGATGATATATATTCAAAAATATTCCTTTAACTAATTTTCTATTCTTACGAAAATCGTTCAATATAATTACGAAAGTCGTTAACATTACAAATATTAGCTATAAATCAGAAAATAAAAATACATTTTAAATTCAGAACATAATTACTCACTGATCCTTCTTAGTATTATAACTTGGTTACATGTCAATTGCAATGATGTTCGCAAATTGCTGTAATTCCATTTTTACTTTCCCATATACATATGTATATACGGAGTAATATATGTAGTATAGGGAAAGTTATGTAATGCTGCGGAAAATGGATTTTGAGATTTCAATGAAAATACACGTTTAGAAGCTCTGGATGCCAAAAAAGTGTTGTTTTTTATTCAAAATGTACGTATGTTTTAGGAAAAAATAACCCACACACTTCCGTCCGTCCGGTTTCTGTGAACACTACTAGCAAGTTCAGTGGCGCTTAAATGCCAGGTTTTTAAAAACAGCTCCAAAAAATGTTCCTTAGGCTGCGATAGATGGCAGCAGGCAAGATTATGTGGCAAGTTTGAATAGCCTGCCAAGACCATAGGAAATAGAAAACTACGACGGGAAAGTCTGTGCCATTCCGTAGCACCACTAGTTTATTACTGTATATTAAACATTCTATATATTAATATACATGTGCTAATAATCTATCACAAAGACATACCACAATACAATTTAGTTAACTCAATCTCTGAAAACCTGCATTATTGATTTGTTTGTTTGTTCATTCACTGTCTTTACTAATATGATGAACATTTCCTAATTTATTTGCTTAAATATGTTATAAATTTAATTTATACCTATTCAAGATTTTCCATAATTATTTGCTTGTAGGAGGATATTAATAGCATTTAATTTCAAACATTATAATTTTATTTGTTGATTAAAATATTTTATTTGGAAATAACTAATTTCTTTGTATTCAGCTAAGATACTACATTTACATATTATTTAAATGAAATCACCAAATACAACATTTAATACTTTTACTTATTTCCTTATTTCATAACATCCTCTACTGAACAATATATTGAATTAGGCTGATTAAAATGTTTTGAGTACCAAATATTTTGGGTCACTAATTTCGAAAGAAACAATGATTCTTCCTGTAAAATTTAACTTGTCCTTTCAATTTTATTATGAAATTCCAAAACACAAGGATCCTCAGGAGCAAAGCACATACAATGTACTCAACAAACACATAATATACATAGTCTAACAAAGTCTTTGATAACAAATATGAAAGCAAGCATGTAATCAAATTCAGTAAAGATATAACATACCAATAAGCATCATCCTGGCTGACTATGTGCAGTATATCACCCTTTACAAAATCCAAGCCTGCTTCTTTACAAGGAATATATGGATCAGTGGCTGATGCGTAATCAAAGTGAGCTCTCACTCTTACTTTGCTTTCTCGTAAACCACTCTTGCCATCAGCAGGTACCAACTTGAAAGTAATTGTACCTTCCGAACTTTGCTGAAAAGTTTTACAATACATTTCCTTTAAATCATGGGAATTCTATCAATAACATTACATTTGAAATCAAAATTAAAAATATTCCTTACCAAAATCTTGAGAACATCATTTGGAGTTTTGCCTTCTACACTGATGCCATTGACCTCACACACTTCATCTCCAACATGAATGAGACCAGATCGATCTGCTGCTCCCCCATGCATAATACGAGCTATTACAATTTTTCCTGTCTCTTCATCGGTCTTGATAGTAGCCCCCTGCGTAATTCAATAGTATGTTAAAAAAATTGAACTCAAAACAACCTTATATGCAACACAATATTATGAAAGCAGAAATAATTCCCCTTTCATTTTTCTGTAATTTATAGTAATTTCTCAACTACATAGGATTTGAAACATAACTCTGCATTTAAAATGGGAAATTAAAAGCATGTATTTTTTTTTTCAGATAAAAACATCAATTCCAACTAAAATAATACTTTAATATCCCAAAATTCATTAACAAAAACAATTCACCCACGTGTTCCCTCAAGCAAGTTCAATAGTTAATATATTAACTACTTCATTCGTGAGTGGAATCTCACATGATTCATAAAAAAGCATTGATATTGGTTTAAAACATTCAATCTACTAACTAGGAGTTGTTAGGCATTTAGTTTTGACACTCTGCATAAATTTTGGAATATTGCCTCCACTGTGGAGTGGCCTCTTTCATGTAGAAATAACAGCTACTGACACAGAGAACTGATATATAAAATAAAGCAAGCATTGTAACACGCTGACAAACAAACACGAAAATTAGTGAAATTATTTTTCATACTAGTTTGGTTATTATTGGCTTTGAGTGGTTCAAACTGACTACAGGTGGAGGCAGAAACTATGTAAAATATTATTGGAATTATAAAAACGCTGGACTGTTGGATCAAAAAACTCAATGAATCTCAATGGACAAATCACAAATATTTTAATTACTGAGAGCTAGAAGCAATATCACAGACAGCACTACATAAGTTTACTCAGCACTGGACTAAGCTACAAAAATGATGAGACATACAAAACAATTATTTAACAACGACATGCACAACATCTAACAGTATTTCAACAAGCAATGATTTAATTCACTAAACCCATGCTTCAATAAAAATGCATATTAATAACGTCTACACTTATAATTTTAATGTAAATGAATAGCCAATACAGGATTAGGGGGCAAACTGTGAACTTGTGAAATAGCTTTTAAGTTGCAGCAAAACAGAAAGTCTAGAACTGAGCAATTGATGAGGATAATACCCAGGTATACTATCTTCCTTGAAGATATTATACCAGAGATCTTCCTATTCACTCTGATCTCTCACTTTCCACATGCTGAAACATGTTATTTTAAACCAAGTCCATATATTTCTTCAGCTAGACTTGGAAAAATTCAAACAACAGAGCAATAAATAGGAACCAGTTTTGTTCACAGGCACCAAGGACTTACCACTATAGGTTCGGCGCTTTGGGCCCCACTCTGTGCAAGCCATTCAATGAAAGAATAGAGAATAGTAATATAATCCCACATAAGAATTACAAAGTTATGTAGGCTTCTTAGAGTTTGGTGTCATGATGACCTTAGCTGTTTAGGCAAGGGGTTGTCCATAAATTACATAACAAAAATTGGGATATTCTGAATACTACCTTTCCTCCCTGTGATGCATCAGTAATGCGAACTTCAAACCCCCTTAAATAATAAAAGCATTATTTGTATTAATTTTATTTGTGGTTCAGATTAAAATTTATGATAATTTAAGACAGAATTAGTTGGTGTTGTTGGCTCCACCTAACAATACAACTGGGAACAATTTTTGAGTGCATGAGGGATGCGTAGATGTGAACATTTCTGACGTCATGCACACTGTTGTGGATGATGCACGGACTAGAATCTACTTCATTGATTTAATTGAATTCTACAATTTAATACCGATCAGTTTACAATATTTTCTTTGTAATCTAACAGATTCAATCAAAATACTATCAAAAAATCAGCAAATGTTGGGGAAAAAAAAATAATAATAATAATAATAATAATAATAATAAATAATAAATCAAATAATAATAATAATAATAATAATATAAGAGTTTCGTAACACCAAACTAGTATTACCCTACCCCTATGTAACACAGTAATTCCACCTGAACCCTGCTTCCCCCTTGTGTTATGTAATTTGTGCATGACCCCAGTGATAATTTGTCTTTGTAACAAATGATCACTGAAGCAACACCAACAAAGAAACAACACCTGATCAGCTATGATCATCATAACAAATAGAGCCCTGCATTAACAGAATGTAAATAATTTGAATTTGATTAAATAACACAGACAAGAGAGCAATAGTAATAGAATATCCAGATGAGATGAACGTTTTAGTAATCTTTACTGAAGAACAAATAACAATTTTCACATATAATAATCTTACGCAGGGCTCTACTTACAATAAAATAATCTAATAAACTTCCCCCTACCAACAGAAACAAGAACAATACACTTTTTTCCTTTTCCATTACCACAAAACAAAATTTGACATAAAATTATTTAGGATTGTAATAAACATTTGTGGTAAAAATAGTCCTGAACCTTAATTACATTCAGATTCAGACAAGAAATATATATTAACAACGGATTCTTAGTCAACACTGAATTTTCTCACATCTCCAAACAAATTGCCTTTGTAACACATCTGAGATTCAGAAGCACATATGCAACCAATGGAAAACACACAGTGTGTGCTGTACAACAAATAATAACTACCAATTCAGTGACATATACTTGAATAGTTATAAAATATCAATTTGTTTTATGCTGAACAAACACACACACACACACACACACACACACACATTTTTCTTAGGCAAGAGTGAATAAAATAATTGATAAAATGTACAGAACATAGGAATGGTAGGGATGAAAGGAAAAATTGACATACTTTAAACTTCTGAACCTCCCTTCTACTTAATCCAAAAATAAAATGTGAGACTACAAACACAATTAATCCTCACATAGCAAAGAAGCACTTGAGCAAGTCGTCATACCGTACACCATCATTGCAATACAAAAGAAACATTTTCAAATCTCTTCCTTGATGTTTTAGGCATTTCATTACTAATAAATAAATAAATAAAAATATTTTTTGTCAAAATCTAGAGAGTATTTCCGAAATAGTTTTAAAACTTGTTAAAGAATTGCCAAAATTTAGTTGAATCCTAGGAATAATAAATAAGTAAAATACCAAAAGGTCATTGATAAAGTCATTAATAATGAAAAATTAATTATCATTTGCTGTATTCATCTCCTGACAAGTTACTTTCCTTCCAATGAAATGACAACATTAATAATTTATTATATGTTTATTATAATTGTCATGTTTCAATTTTGCAAAACATCACAAAATTCCTTCATTTAAATTTTTGAAGAATCTTTTAAACAGATGCGTTAAACAAAAGGTAATTTGATATCTAATTACTTTACTTGCGATAGATATTTACAAAAATTAAAATGATATCAGTAATAAATGTGAGATTTGCAAATGTATCATATATTCAACCTGATCACATCACACCAAGTAACATGTAACCCACCTGAACATGCTTAAGCCCACTCATTCCTCACTCATAACTAATTTATTCAATAAAAAATGATAATGTAAGCCTGGTAGAGCAACTTCCAGCTAACCTACCACATGCATTACTCACTAAAATCATGAGGAAACTGTATAAAATGGAAATAGGTCATTATTTCATGGAAACAAATGAATGAGTTTTTTTTAATTTTTTTATATAGAATCTGACTCTACTTGTAAAGAGAAAAAAGATAAGTGGAAGTCTGAGATATGTGTACTCTTAAAATATTTTGAAAAACTTTTCTGTATTTTTTTTCATATTTCAGTTTTTTACCACAAATCATTTACAACCATTATATATTGAGTTTCTACCTCATAACATTCAAAACCTACCAAAGGCTCGTTGCTTTTGACAAGCTGGACAATTTTAATGGTTTCTTCATCTTCATCCACTTCCAGGGGTATTTCAGGGAGTCTTGGGAAATAGTCTTTCTGAGCCACAGCATCATGAGCACACAGCAAACCCTTCGCATTAAAATAAAAAATTAAAACAAGTTAATAAAATGAGTAATAGAAATTTTTTAATGTAGACTACAAACCTGAATATGAGGTTTCTGGAGTAACATAAATACTTCTTTACAGTCTTCACTGATACAAGTTCGTGGAGCTACTACTTCCAACACTTCTAGAGCTATCTGCATTGAATTTGATAAAGTAGGGTGGAACTTTTCATCTTTACCATTATTTATTATTTTGTTATGAACCTTTACTAAGGCATGCAACTCTTTTGATTGTAACAAATCACTGAGAAAGCCAAATTCTTCTTCAGAACTCGGAAGTACTTGTCTAGCTTCTTCTAAAGATACTAATAGCCGTGACAGAGCTGCAAATGCATAATAACATTCTTTAATTAATAATTAGAACTTGAACACTATTACTACAGATTTTTCTTCAATATCCAGCAAGTTATTTATTTCAATGAAATTTATATTTACCTGGATCCCAGTTTCCATTAGCCATTACTGCTGCTGTCATTCTACATACAGTACTATAAATAGTATCATGTATATCTGTAATGTTTCATAGAATTGTTAAAGAAATGTATTAATTGTGGCTTAATAATTAGGACTGTAAGTACACAACACTGACTCCCAATCACTCTCTCTAGAGGGACGTTGGTACCAAGGATATATTTCGTATGATCAAAGAAGCTAATTCAAACTACATAGTCACATTAATAGTAAATAAGAAATCTACTTTTAATAGGGTTTTAATGGTAAATTGGGCAGGAACTCGGGTCGGGTCTTGTCATTACGCCAATACGAAACACAGCGAGTAAAACTACATGGCACATAACAAACATAGATCAATAACTATTGTGTCTGTCAAATTTACCAAACGAACTGCCGCATTAACAACTCAAATATGTTTTTTTCTTCATTTCTGGCTATTTCCACCTACAACTCGACGCCATGTTGTTTGGCTGATCATCAAACGTGAAAGTATTCGCACGAAAGTACGATAGCAAAGGGAATTATTGATGTGAGTACCGATGAACACACTGCGTGTAATAATTCGGGATTCATTTGATAATTCAGATTAATTTTACAATAGGGAAATGCAATATTTAATGTTTTTGTCTTATTTTTGCCACGCCTCATAAGCGTTTTCACCAACTGTGAAAAACCAAAATTATTCCACCGATTTTAAATTATACACCGATAGCCCTATTTGAAGCATGGCATTTTTTCCATCATTTCCATCACCTTTTAGACTGCATGTCTGAACATTATGTCGTACATTACAGACTCTTCTAGAATGGTAGTTAGTTTTTTTCAAATGTCGAATAGTATTTCTTTTACAGTACACTATTTTGAATTGGCAATGATGAGAGCACACACTGCAATGCATCTGAAGACAGGGCGCTAGAAAGAGCACTTTGTATACAATTTTTTTTGTTTATAATGAAATGCCTTTTGTTGAGTTTTTTGCGACAATTTTAGTGACGAAAGAGTGATTTTTAGGTAAGGTTGTGAAATGTTCAATACCTTACACTACTATGAAGATAGTGTTTACGTTATAGTAACCTCACAAGAGAGCTAGTGGTTTGATGAAGGGATGTTCCTTGCACATAATGCTCTTACAGAAAGGGAAATTTTCTGTCGGTATATGCACTTTTAAGAAAATTGGCCCTTAATCATCCAAACTGAGTGTAATTTGGTTTTCCCTGAGATTTACATACATAATATATGTAATGATAATTATGTTAAGGCACTGCATTGCCATAGTCAATGTTTGTGTAATAATTTCCTTTCTTGGAAAGTTATGTCAAAGCAGTTAACCTAATAAATATCAACGTATTTTTAAAAAGGAATATTTGTTGATTGTTGTTTATTGCCATGCTTGTTGAGGATGTAAAGGTAATTCCAGATGTATGGAATGTTTTTGTCTTTTAGAAAGCATAGAAAAAAATAATTTAATTCATCTTATTTTTACACATTTTTCACGTATTTCTGTATGATAATGTTAACATTTTCGTTTTATTTCCTTCACTTGTTACATACCTGTTGCTTCTGCTCTTAAGTAATACTCTTTGTATTTTGGTGATCATTTTAAATATAACTGCATGATTTGTAGCAATTGCATATGCTGTCAAATAGTATCTTTGCTTTTCATGTTGAACAGTTTGAATGTTTCTGTCAAGATTGATTACATGTTATTTTGTATGTAGAAACATGCTGCTGTCTTGATTTGAGGTTATGTGTATTGTATTATTAGTATAGTTAATTTGTGTCCTTTATTATATCCAAAGTATTTTTACATTTACTAAAATATGATCTCCTTTTGTGTGTGTTATTGATGGGTTGTGAATAGAAACTGTTTAGATTTTTTTGTGCATGGAATTGTTAGTGTGGCTTATTTTGTAAAATTATGAGTGGAAATTTTATATTCAATCTGAAATCAATTTATAAAATTATTGATTTTGTCAACAATAAATCTGGTTTTGAAATAGCTTTAAAATATTGATTTCTCATACCTCTCCCAATTCAGATTCCTCTCCTGGTAATTAGTTGCACGGTAGGGTTAGAAGAGTTTTTATAAGCTTGCTTCTTTGTTTCTTAATGCTCAGCATGCTGCTTTTCCAGTATACTTTATTTTTCTTTCATTTAATATTTGCTGTTACTCTCAGAATGAAAATTTTATTTTTTTTAAGTCACCAGATAATGTGTAATGTTTCATTTTCTGATTTCAGGTGCTACTTTTCTACTACTTGTAAATAGATTTTTAAACCAGTTGAGCAAAATTCAGCATTAATTAGCAGGTACATGAAACATTAATAATTTATAATATTACTTAATTTTATTAGAATAACGGAAAATATAGGTATTCAGTTTCTTTTAATATTATTTTTCTTTGCCTTTATTTACTAGTTTGTTTTGGTGATGCATTTCAGTTTTTTGAGGTTTTGGGGAATGGTGGCAAACAATGGTATGGTCTCTTACGTGTGCCTTTTGATCTGTGTGTAGATGCTCTACATGTTCCATGCTCCTTGGTGCACCTTGTACAGAAATCTTTGGGCTTCCAGTTTTACTGTCCTTAATATATTATTTGTCTTCATGTGTGGTGAGTTATCTTTTTCGTAGCACAATGTTTTGTAGAGATAGTTTTCTATTAAATGTGTTTGTAAGATGTATGTTTGCTCCATTATGAAGTGATCACCCGCCATGTATGTGTAAGACCCCATGATTGTCATAAAATATCGTTGTACAATGTTTGTTTGTGATGCTTTGTGTTCTAGTAGGTCAGTTTCAGAAAGCCATTGAAATTTTAAAAAAATGTATATTTAAGTTTGTTGATGAAGCCACATGATTTATTCATTTCTTCAATGAACTTAATATTTTTACAGTGTTACAGGTAATATGAATGAAAATATTTATATTCTATGAAACCAAATATTTTATAATCAACCTAAATTTTACTTAATGATGGGGATCCGTCATTGTAAACTTCTGTACAAATATTTACACATATTTTATTAGTCAATGAAATAACTTTTTGTGAATGAATTTAAATTAGTTTGTATCTTATGTGAACATTAATGTTGACTATATATTTAAAGTTTATCTTCGAATTTGTGCATGATTCACATCCACAATTTTTGCGAACTCATTATAAGTTTCAAATTAATTACAAAACTTGTGTAATAAAAGCCAACTAAGCCCTACAAAATCAAGAAACCAGTGTTTGAGAATTATTTTCTTTTACTAATTTATTTCGTTTTTTCCATTTTCATGCCAGTTTTTACTTTCTCGCCCTTAAGACTGTACTTCTTAAAAAAAAGAAAGTTGTATGATGCTGTGGGGAAAAAACTATGAATTATCGGCTGAAAAACTCTTATTGCCAGGTCCTCGAAATTAAAAAGTTGATAACTCCAATTGTTAAACTTAGAAGAAAAAACCCTCTAAAAACGTTGTGTAGCCAGAATCCGTTTTGTGGCTCCTTGATACCGAAAAATCGAATGACGGCAAAACGCCTGTCCGTTTGTGAACAACTTTAGCGGTTAAACCGTTCAGCCGATTTTTTCCAAAATTGATATTTCCCAATTGATCTGGCTGATGTCGCGGCCCCTTAAATTTGAAACCGATATTTTAATATTCGGGGGTACTTTACATGTAGCCCATGGGACGTTTTCAAAATTTTCAAAAAAAATTGCGCCATCGTTTTTTATTACATTTGGTTGTGGGATAGTGTGAAAGGCGTTTGATGAAATGATACAGGTCTTATTTTCGTTGAAAACCCCGATTTTTTGTAAATTGCAAACATTTAAAAGTTTTTCGGCGTGTTCTACAAATACAATTTTTAAGACATTTTTTCCCCCTTAATGAAGTGTTCTTGAACAGTTCTTCAAATGAGATCGTTTAATATTTCGAAAATATTTTTTGCGTAATGTTAGATGAACATAAGCGCTTTAAAACAATTTTCTCTGAAATAGCGTCAAATTGTGTCTTCCATTTTAATGATCGTATGTAGCAAAGAACTGTGAAGATAGGGGTGGTGGATCTATTTTCGGCGCACTCACCATTTTCGAAAATTGCAACAAGGTGGGAATTGTAATTTTGAATTTCGCGCGCTTCGTTATAGACGTTGCCAGTTCGGGAAATAGCTACGTAGAGGTTCTGGGAATTTATTCCATTGTTGTCGGTCATTGTGTGATGTAGAATGAAGGAAAGTAATAAATTTTAACGTAGAACTAATAAACACACTTCCATACTTTCAGAAGTTTTAATCGCAGATTAAGGTATTAGAAAAGTGAAAGCTTACTTCAAATATAATGAAGGTAGGCTTGTGTGAAATTATTCTTGCTTTTCTGTCTTATGTTCTGTAAATATTGAATCATTCAATTTTTTTCATATTCGTTTCATCTCTAAGAGTAAGAAATGATTACTCTTCCTGATAATGGAAATAAATACAGATATGCTCGAGAGACAATTCGTTTGTATGAGACTTTTTCAAATCATAACTTAGTTTTTAGTGTGGCAGATGTTACAATATTTTAATATTACGTAACTATTTTCAATGATGCGGGAAAGTATGTGCTGTTATAGCCCCTCTATTTTTTTTTAAGTTCCGGACGATCGTCTGAAATCATGCCTGCGCCGGTTTCAGAAGTTACTCAGACTGTACAACACCAAATCATGACCTCTTTTGCCGTAAGCAAATGATCAACTTAAAGATTCCATTAACATGAAATTAATTGCTGTACTGTATAGCATTATTTTACATCAGTACACCTGTAATAAGCTATAAGAATTAACATTCCGTAAAAGTGAAAATTTTAATAAGTTGCTACTTGAAAATCTTGTTATTATTTTCCTTTAGGCAGAAACGTAATTTGCACATCTTTCTGCTGTCTCACAATTAGTAGTTTGTGTGTGTGTGTGTGTGTGTGTGTGTGTGAAATTCTTTATTACGGTCGATGTCAAACGCTTTTACACCGTCATGGGGCAAGACTCCCAGCAAACATCGAATCATGTTATCACTAATAACACGACGTCCCGTATACCAACATTTATTTTTTGCGGTCTTTACATTTCCATAGTTGGGGAGATGGCTCTCATTTGTTTTCAGTGTAAGCGCGCTCGGCTATCTTGATGAGCGCCAAGATGCGAGGCCGATAATGCGGCCCCAACGCTCGCGCGGGCTGGATGTGCGTGGAAATTGATGCCTATTCCTGACGTTCGGCGTTGGATTTTCGTCGGGGGCTCGCACGTGCCTTCATGCGGAGATCGGCATTGCTTTGTCCTGCATTACTTTTGTCTTCTTCAAGCGTCTCGTCTTTTCTTACTCAATTCTCATCTTTAGCAAATTATCAAACTTCAATTGCCGTGTATTTGATGATGTTGGTGATGTTAGAGGTCGAAAATCAGAGAAATAAATAAATAAATGTCTTTACTGGTGGCGAGGCTCAGGATATTTAGCCTGCTCTTCGCCTGACCACTTGCAAAATTTTTTTAATACAATAGATAATGTAAAGAAGGTCATTCAAAGAAATGCAATTCGATTCTACCGGGGTATAGTGAAATGGTTAATCTTGATTTAATAGTGTGGTGTGCGTAGCCGTTTCCCCGTCACGATCACAAAGTGGAAACTTGTGCCTTGCCATCTGCGAGATACGAACCTTCGGCGGAATGGTTGCCGCCGAGGCTATTTGAAAACTAGGAAGGTTCAGGCCACGGGCAGACATTACTGCTATGAACTGGCTATTTCACTCTTGTGTTTTGGACCAGTTACGTTCCTCCTTCAATTGCATTCTTCCTAGAAAATTATCATTTTTATCTTGTTAGTATCGGGTTAGGTGGCTCAGAGAATCAACTGTTGTTATTGCAATGCCTCTGACTGGTAGGTCCGAGGGTTCCAGTCCCGACAAGTGGCAGGATTTTCGACTCTAGCTAAGTCGAATTCAGACGCTGTCTGGAGGAGAATTCTTGCGATCGGCTGCTATGAACGGTAGTTTTCCGTGGTTTCTTCGGTCAACACCAGGCGAATGCCGGAGCAGTACTCTAACAAATAGATAACAGACCGCGCGCGATCTTTCCTTCCTCTCTTGTCCTAACATCACCCCTTACTAAAACGTACATGCCTGGAGTAGTTGGGAGCTTAGAGCTTGCCCCGGCTGGGTGTCCACTGATGGGAGATACCTATTTGGGGAAAACCGCGAGCTGACTGGTAGGTCAGCGCCGGATCTCGCCATCCTGCGGGGGAAGATCACAGCCACCTCCCGTGGTAAAAAAACAACAACAAAAAACCATCACTACACGTAAGATATAAGAATTAGAGAGTAGAAAATTTGCCGTAATATTAGATAACGGTAACATTTTAAAATAGCGAAAAAGTATGTGCTGCTGTAGCTCCTCTAGTTTTTTAAAGGTCACATTTCAGACTATTGGTAAAAATTGCGTATACTCACAAATCTTAGTATTCATAAACACTCTGGGAACATAAATCTCGTTATAGCTTCTCAATCAACCACCTTGGGCGGCGGTCACATTGGAGCCGTTTTTTACCGAAATTGCGGTCGACATTTTTGTTCGATGTGCCAAATTCATTGAACTACATGATGGTAAGTGTGAATGGTTATAGTGAACCCGAATGACCTCTTTCGTCAGCATCCGGAAACATCGGCTTTCGGAAGAAGATCTGTTTCATTTGATTTTGGCCGGCCGAAATCGGCTCCATTGTGACAGTCGTCTCAAACTCGCATGTTTTCACGAAGAGATAATATCAAATGTTTCGGTTGTTTCATTCAGGAGATCGATTACTACTCAACTAATGAAATAATAAATGACGGCAGATAGGTGTTCATTGTATTAATTTTACGATTTTATTAAAGTTTATTGTTTCTAGCATAAACCGGTTAACAATGGCAAGCGATAATATTTCGGGTCCATTAACTTTTATACAATGCAAAAATAACAAAATTTGGTTGCTCAAAGTTTTTTTCTGAACAAAAACCTTTAGTGCATTGGAAACAACAAATTTTGCTATTTACTAAATATCTGAGATTTTAATGAAAATCGTTATCTTAAATATAATTGCACTGTCATGAATTTGAGCAAACAAAATTGAAAACAGTTCAGCATTTTTCCGGAAAATGTTGAAAATGTCAGAGGCTTCGTGTAAGGTACTCCCAAACAAAAATATCGTAATGATCTCAGCAACAACACAATATCTTACGCCTGACGAATGCGAATATACTAAGTTTCAACTCAAAAGCTTCTAATGTGTCAGTTATGCGTGACGGGATATTCAAATCCATTTGGAGTACCAAATTGCATGTAAGTCCTCTCCATCTGCACCGGCCTCAACCATCTTTGGAACAGTACTATTAGACCTTATGTGTGAAGTTAGATTTGAAAACCTTTGAAGTTGTGTTAGAATTTGAAACCGTTGAAGTGATTTCAATACTTTTTTGTACTAACTTTTTTTCACTCTTCGTTTGAATGTTTTCAAAAAAGCGCCATATTTTAGTTTCCGTATGCCCCAATATTGACGGTTTTTTTGAAGCCATTATTTAGAGATGCTTTGAAGCTTTTGCGCTAACAAACGTTTGCAAATACGAAATACATCTATAATGTAAATGTTAATGGCGCGAGAGATATTTCACTAAATTATATTTGTTTAAATTCTGAAAAATCAAATTAATATATCAGAATGACGTTTGTTATGTTATTCAATATTATTATTACGTGCATTTAGCACTTTCCGCACAAGAAGTTTAAACAAAAAAAATTGGGGACAGTATGTTTTTAGCATCGATGCTATGTTTCAATAGTGGTTTAGTACGCTCTGAAATGGAATTCGTGGATAACAAAATTTAATTTTTCAGTGACCGTGTTTATTAATTTATAATGAAGATCAAACTGAAAACGAACCAAAAATAATAACAAATGAAAATGCTCGGGCTGAAAGCTTGAGCGTCCACAGTTATCTCGAGAGGTCATAGCTTTCTGAGTTTGCCCATACGTATGCCGCTTCTCATGTGCGAAACCCAAGGAAAGACGTACGAAATACCAGGGTATCGGGGTCATCCTTAGGGAGAGATGATCTGCTCGATGAAGATAATGCTATTGGAGAACTCTGTGGAGCAGAACTTGAACTATTGTGCCTCTTCCACTCCCCGCGCCCGTCTCACCTATAAGAGACGCGTACAAACCAATACAGCGTTCTTAATGCAGAGTTCAATGGGCAGATACGGAGCCACTTCGTAGGCGGCTCAGAGGTTCAGGAGGAGGCCGACAGATAGCATTACATCCTGTGCATTTGAAGAGAGTATTGATAGAGAATCTAATGGCAGAACGCTCGTTGAAATGAATTACTGTAAAGAAAACTATTTTGAAGAAACTATATTTTATGCACACATTTGTGGTGAAAAAGTTATTTTCATTCCTTTTTTTTCATGGTGCCATGGCATACTGCACTACCCTACAAGACTCCCCTGGGCAGAAGTATTCGTAGGATGCAAATTCCAATGTATTATGTAACCGTTACAAAGAATGCGAGATATTTTGTGTTCTTGTACCTCCTCTATTTTTTTTAAAATTTACATATCGCTTTTAAATTTAATACCCACGATATGAATATACATTTCCAAATGTCTCACTAAAAATTAAAATATTTTAAAACAATCTTCGCAATAAAACTGAACACTGTGTCTTCAACTTCGAGACTGCCTAGGAAATGTGTGACATATCGACAATTTTCCTTGTCATAGGTTTGTGAAATGAATTTTTGTATTTTAATGATTTTGAGGAAATATAACAATTATTTTAATTTCCTTGTGCCAAAAATATAAAAGAGTATCCATGAACAATAATGCAGAATACTGTGCACTGTCCATCGCATTGATGGATCCCACTGTGCCGGGTTCTGAACGTTCGATAAAAGGAAGAATTTTACGGGTTTTTCACTTTTCATTTAGAAGACAGCACTATGTATTTCCCCATCAATTATTTCCCTGTAATTCTTGCGAGCTAGAGAACGTCCGAGGGGTGAACCGAGGTCCGGGAGATTCACATAGCATCTTGTCACTTTGTTTCAGATCCCTTACTTTAGACTAAGGTGGCAATTTTTACGAGTTTGCACCGTTTTTTGGAAGAAAGGTGCGTATATCTTCTGCTTCAATCGAAAAGTAGTGCTACATCGTAGCATATCTTTCTCATATTACTTGTAATAGTTATGTAAAATGAGTTATGTAATATAGTAGTGTAAAATTAAAGATAGAGGTTTTCCATTCAAATCAAAATTGTTGTACATTATTATTTCTTTCATTAAGGTCATGTATATTTTTCGAAAATTTTAATAGCTTTTGCGTCTATTGTGATCAATATATGCCATTTTCTTTAAACAAGATTTTCTCAAATACTGCTCCATTTTTTTATTTCAACTTTTGGTAGGGATAGTGTACTCTATAAGATGACATAAACGCCATATTGCTCCATTCTTTTTGTTTTTCAAAAATTGTAAAAATTTAATTTTTTTTTTATTTGTCTTTCGCATTATTTTCAGAAACGCTCGAACACCATTTTTATCAAAAATGGCACCAAATTTTTTCTTCAAACATTTCGAACGGATAGTGTTAACTCTACTTTTTAATTTGACGCAAAGTTTATTTCGGGGTTTTTATTGTTTTTTCAATAATTACACAAATGTAAATTTTTGAAAGATCTCTCATGCTGTTAATATGCACGTTCCCAACAAATTGTAAACACAATTGTATTTGTGAGGTAATGCTTAAAATTACGTCTAATAAAATATTTTCGAAAATTCAAACATTTTTTGTGAAAGAGATTCAAATTTGGAATTTAGTGGCGCGTAACCGTCCTTTTTTTTAAAAACAACTTCACATTTCTGAAAGGAAATTGCCATTTAGGGCGACGTTTTACTGTTCTTTAACATTCTTAAAATAATGTTTCCGTTCTACTCTGGGAAACCGATATTTTAAGAAATTTTCAAAAGTTATACGCGGCGATAGATGGCAGCTTACAAGAATATGTGGCAAGTTCGTATAGCCAGCCGAGACCGAAGGAAATAGAAAACTAATACGAAAAAGTCTGTGCCATTCTACAGCGCCACTAGTTCTACATAATATTCAACAGCTGTCGTTGCCATAGCAACTAATCTCGAAAGTTTCTTTTGGCTTAAAAATGTTCATCTTCCTCATTTTTGAAAAAAAGGTCCAAAAATTAAGTACCCACAAATAAACAAATATAGAAAATAATATATTTTCAATAAACACGATTTAGTTTTTCTTAATTTAATATTTATATTGTAGGTAGTTGCGATTTTGACGAATTTGTTCGGCTGTTTTTCCCCAGTAATTTCCAATTGCATTTCTTCCAATCAACAAAAACAATTTTTATTTGTGATCAATTTTTGAAGGTCAGGATCAAATTTAAGAGCTTCTTCACTATCGAACTCAAACTACTGGTGCTCACACTTCGTATCCAAATATTTCATAAGACACAAATTGATAATTTTTTTTGAATTTTTCGCAACATTTACGGTACTTTTCTGTAACGACGCCGTAACTCCGCCTAATTTCCGCTCAGCAAATTAAAGCAACTCAAGAACACCTTCGCAATAGACCAAGAAAATCCATATATTATCAAAACTCTTCTAAACTATCTGGGAGGTACAAAATAAATATTTAACGACTACTACAATTCTGAATGTTCAAATATTAACTGAACGTAAAAAAGGATAATACGTGACTAGGGGTCGTATTACGAGTAGTAAACTGAGAAATCCAGCCAAGGCAGTCCGACTCATCACACGTATCCTTAATATCGCTCGTTCCAGAGAGAACTGTAAACTACGATCGGGTGCATCGGAAGACTACCATTCGCTCTGCCCCTCTGCAGACCACGCCGCTTGTCCGGTAAGTGGCTTTGTTTAATCCAATAGAGGGGATCCGCGTCGTATTTTGCGGGCCGTCTCTCGTCGGCCGACCGGCCCCCGCGGCGCGCGCTCCGGCTGCGCCTCTCGAGCCACGTGCCAGGGGAGCCGCCGGAAATTTGCGTGCGGGCCGCGACCGCACCCGCACCCACGCCGGCGACCCCAGCCTGCGCCCGGCATCGAACTCCGAACTCGTGCCTCCGCTCCCCCTCGGTCGGTCCTTTCCTCCCGCCCACGCCCGCGCGCCGCTGGGCGTGCCGACGATTATTTTAGAGGTCGAGCTCCGGCCCCGGTTCGAAGCCCGCTGCCATTTGTCGTGCCCCGAGCGGCTTCCCCCGCGCGGCCGCAGCCGCGTCGCGTCGCTTTGTTTACGGAGAACATTAATATTCCCAGCCATCGCCGCTGTAACACGAAGACGTTTATAATAGTTATAATCAGCGGTACATTCAGGTCTTGTCGACCGGCCCTAAAAGAGGTGGGGGGGAGAAGGGTCGGACTGTAGGTTCTCTTTTCACACGCGGGATTTTTCTCCGTCCCCGAAATATGACTGGCATTTGTCTGCCTGTCACGTTTCGTGTTCGATTCTAGGCCCCCCGCGAAATTTGTTAATGCCGGAGAGGCGATGGTGTTGTGGCGTGTCGGAGTGTGTGGCGAGTGTGAAGTGTGGTGGACGTCGCCGTCCCGTCCCCCTCCCCCTTCTCTAGACACCCTTCGCGGCCGCCGCCATCGTGTCCGCCCGCCTGCGCGCGGCGCTGTAGGCGATTGCAGTGGCAACAGTAACCTCCCTCCCTGACATCGGGCCCTGATGAACAATGGCAACACGGGCCGAGAGGCGCGCTCTCGCTCGCCGGCGTCGCTCTCTGTCGGCCGCCGCCGCCTCCCTCTATCTCTTGATTGGTAATTGTGTGTTAAATTCTGGACTGTAGAGGTGGAGAAAGGGAAGGGCGGCAGAGGCGGGGGCGAGCGAACGAACGGTCGGCCGGCCGGCCGGCCGAGCGTCGACGGCGGCGGCGGGGGCGGTGAGGGCGAGGCTGGGAGAAGGGGGTGAAGTAGTCAAGAGTTGCTAGGCCAGTGGACTGGATCAATATTTTAACTTCCACAGATAACAACACAAACACAGAACTAATATTTAGTTTGCATGAGTCACGCCCACCCTTGCCTTTTGCTATAAAAGCGAAATGAGGACGACTATGACAAAGCGATGTTGTGTTTGGCGGGCGCGCTGTTTTGATGGAGCAAGGATCATACGGAGCTTTTACTGCCCATGATTAGTGTGTGCGCGCTATCTTGTAATGATCTTCTAATGCATCGTGTTCTATTGATCACGCATTTTTTTTTCTCTCCTTTTTGCCCTGCCCCTCGGTTATTACTCCCTTCATATTCAATTGTCAGCTACACACACATTTAAATAACGAATTAAATAATTCGATTTTAAAAATTCATGCATAATTGGAAATTTAATTGTACTGCGCGCGTGTAACACGGTCGCGTGCGGAATGCCAGGAAACGTAGAACGAGTGCGGGGAAAAAAACTCTCTCGCAGCGTCCTGAAAAACACGCGTGGCGAGCTGGAGGTTTTGCAGGTCCCTTGTCTAAACAGACGCGCAGGGTACGTTTGCGATACCGCCTCAGTCGTGTCGTGTTTTACGAAACGGGAAACTGGAGTGCGTTTCGGGTGGCTGGAAGAGTTTGTCTTTTCGCGCCTTGTACTCCCGCGGTTTGTTGTGGGTTGTCGGAACTTTTCGCTTCTTCGCGCCAGAGTAAGAGGGCGGCTGTTAGGCGTCGGACTTGGGGATGATTGGATGGGGATTAGAGCAGGGGTGTCCACACTTTTGCATACCATGGGCTACGATTTTGTGTTTTTCTCTTACGAATTCAGATGCGCCATACAATATAACACTTTTATGCCGTCTTAAGTACGGAGTTAAGAGTTGGAAAACAGGATAGGAGTAGTATCTGGTTCGCTTGGGGGAGGATAAGGAATTAGTCGATCACTCCATTGATTAATGGATGGCTTTTCGAAAGACACACATGTACTGGAGAGCACCAGCCTGCAGTAATTAGATATGTTCTTGAACAACGTCGGTGGTACTGAGTGTGTCCTGTGGTGAAATCTTGAACCTCAGTTGATGGAGAGCTCTGAGAGAGATGGTGCACCGGGAGCAGAATCCACTTAAAAATGTGGATCAAGTTATGTAAATGGCGCCTACTTCAAAAGAATAAGTAGGTGCAAGGATGCAGTGTGCTACTTAAAATCACCCATTGCGCTTTTGTAAATACGCCACACGTTAGCGATTCATCATAGCGTGGAGTTTGGTATTGTACTGCACCCTGACGTATGCTTGTACAACTGCGTGTCTTGGGGATTATCCTTATAATATCAGTGTCATAGGTTGACTTGACTGTTTTCGTTCCGTACTTTTGTTTTTACATGCCAGATTGGAGAGTTAAACCGGCTCTCACTACATGCCGAATATTCAAATGTTTCCCTACTGTGTTTTGCATTATCGTGTAAATAATAATTCAGTATTAAGATTGATTAAATTGTGGATGGTTTATTGCTAATTTTATCTTCCCCCCTTCCAAATAAATATTCCATTCACTCTATTACAGGAGGGAAAGCAGAAAATAGGTTCGCTTTTGTGTTTCGCACGATATTCAGCTGCATTTCATATTATTTACAAAGAACTATATCAGTGCTTAATTGATCCTCGATTGCTTGTGATGTTTTTTTTTCATTGATCACGAAGCAATGTGGGCTACTTAAATGATATAATTATAGCGAAACAAAAAACAAAAAAGTAAAATAAATATTTGATTTCGCAATGTGTATTAAGAAAACTCTCGACAAAATTTGTTTCAAGATGCGATATTGAAAACGTCCTAAAAGTTGTGTTTTGTGAAAATGTGGACCGAACTTCATGGAATACAAGAGAAACAGTGTGTTGTGTCAATAAAAGGACATGTTTTAGTACTATAAATATTTTATCTTTCTGCAGTCGTTACGTTTGGTGTTGCGAAACCAGCTGGTAAAAGAATGTCTGTTTTTGAGTACGAGCGAAGATGTTTTTGTGAAATGTGTTTATTGTTCTCTGGTGCAGGAGGGTTGAAATAAAAACCGTCGCGTTCTCAGGAGTTCGGTTCACCGCGTATTTTCCGAAGTTATCGAACGTATTCGGGGGCCTATACAATTATTTTTCGAACT